CTCAGTTGCCGATGGAATCGCGGTGGATTTGGACCAGTTTGCAGGGGAGCTGAACTCTGCACAGAAAGCGTGGGAGTACCTGGAGTCCACGTACATGGGCACGAACGATGTCAACAAGAAGCAACTGCTGATGCTGAGCATGGAGAAAGGCGAGAAAATCATCACCTACATCAACAGGGCGAAAAACTACAACGACGACTTGCGGGTGATGGGAGCCGCGGAGACGGAGCACGAGATGATTGACTATATCATCCAAGGCCTTCCTAAGGAGTGGGAATCCGACATCGGTATGTTTACGTACCAACCGCCGGAGAGTTTGACGAAGCTGCAGGAGATTCTGCAATCGCTTGAGACGGTGAAGGAGATGAGGAAAAAGAAAGCGGCAGCAGCAGCTACGGATTTCGACGAGGAGAGGCCGGCTTTGGTGAATGCAACGAAGGCGTTTGGAGCGTGCTACCAGTGTGGAAAGAGGGGGCATAAGGCGATAAACTGCTACGAAAATCCGCGAAGCAGAAACTACAAGGGCAAAGCGGTGGAGAACGAGAAAGGAGAAAATGGGGGAGCAGAGTGGCAACAGAAACGAGGTTTTGGCGGCAAGTGTGATTATTGTGGGCGCTACGGACATCGTGCCGCAGAGTGCTACTCCAATCCGAACAGCAGGAGCTACAAGGGTCCGTCGCAGCAGAGGATTGTGGCGGGTAAGGCGAATGTAGCGGAAGCCGAAAAGGAGGATGTGATTTTGGGAGGAGCGCATCGTGCGAACGTGGTGCGTTTACCGAAGGATGTTCGTCAGACGGACGGACGTGAGAAGACGGCATGGTTCATGGACAGCGGATGCACGCGTCACATGACATTCAGGTCAGATTGGATGGAGAATGTGAGGGAGTCGAGTGAGGATTATATTCTGCAAGGTAACAGTGGGAAGTTACCAGTGACAGGAGAGGGTGACGTGGTGCTGCAAAGTCCGTATGGAGAGGTGAAACTGGAGAATGTGCTCTTCGTTGAGGATTTGAAGGTGAATTTGATGAGTCAGTCACAGCTTGATGACTTGGGGTGCAAGATATTTTATGACAAAGGCGAGGTTACAGTGTTTGGTCCTGAGTGGGAGAAGTATGCCGATGGATACTTCAGTGACGGGTTCTATGAGATGAACTTGATAGCGATGAACGACAAGGATGAGATCTATGAGGATCCTGAGTCTACTGAGGTTGATGAGAGCGAGGACACGGATGATACGGGAGCGAGTGTGGAGGCAGCAGTGAAGCAGGAAGAAGAGATAGTCACCATGGAGGCAGCAGCGGTGAATGATGGAGATGGAGATGGTGTCAACACTTTTGCAGCAGCGGTCGTGGTTAAAGATGAAGCAGTAAATGCGAAGTGTGTGGGAGTTGAAGCTGTGAAAGGGGGCATCATGGTGAAGGGATCAACGGCGAATGCAACTGCAAAAGGGCGAGTGCTTATGAAAGAGGAACACGTTGAGGGGTACAAGACCCGAGAGGTGTTGGGTGCTAAGATTCCGAGGAGAAGCGAGAGGCTTAAGAAGATGCCTCATGGTTTGGATATCAAGGCGCTCAACTTCAAGACACGTAAGCAGAGGTTCAAGGTGCATGAGCTGCAGGGGAGCGTGAAGCCGACTTAGACCCTGTGAATGCTACAAGGAGCAGGAAAGCAGTGCGAGTGGTGTTCGTGGTTGACGAACCACAGGGGAGATTGTTAGGGTTGGTTCGCCCAACCACGGGCGAAAGCTTCTACGACGGCGGAATGACGGCGAAATGGAAGCGCGTAGATGATTCGTGAATGAAACGGTGGAATTCGGCCTACGGTGGATATTGGAAGCTACGGCGTGAGAAGCGGGAGAGAGATCGGGAAGATACTAGAGAAATGGAGGAGAAGAGTAGAGAAGTATCGAGAATGAGATCGACGGGGGAAACTGTGGTACGAGCTCGAGGCGTGTTCGAGAAGGTTCCAGATTCGGACTTGAGGAGTGTTCGGTGCATTCAGTTCGGTTCCGTGTGCGACTCGGGGTGAAACGAGGCGCACGGGGTTACTTGGGAAACAAGTGAAGTTACGAATCGCATTTTGTGACTTGCTTGACTATAAAACTGCTTGTACTCATTCTGGAAAACACAACTTGGAGATTCTGAAAATTGCTGAAGTGTGTATTGACAACTTCAAGCAGAGCTGCGCATATCATTGGATTCGTGAGATCGTGGAGAACACGATAAGCAATAGCAAGTAGACTATTGCCGACTAAGGTGTTTACGATCCTAAGAGTCAGGTGGAGAAAGAGAGCAGCACGGAGATTCTATGATAGAGTTATAAACAGCCGTGAATTCACAGGGGAGGGGATGAGGTGAGGGGTGAAGAAGAGAAGGAAGGACAGCACGAACAAGTTGGAGCCAGCAGGAGTGTAAGGCTGCACTCAGCACTTGGCGGCCTTGCGACAAGAGGCCTGAAGCTATTGCAGCCACGAAGGGCGCAGATGGGGAAGCAGGCGTCAACGCGAGGAGGAACAAAGCGTCCCACGAGCGTTGAGTGACGGGTTTGTGTTGACTGTGTTGACTGTGTTGACTGCGTTGACTTCGTTGACTCGAAGAATGGCCCGGTGAGGAGGTAGGCGCGGAGTTAATGGCGAGCAACGCACCTAGAGCGCGCCGATGGCAGGGTGAGGCAACGCACCTCGATAGCGCCGTGAGAGAGGAGGGCGAGGAGGGCGACGAAGACGATGAAAAGAACCACCGTGGCCCCTCAGAGCACAATGAATAGCAGCCTCCCCTGCGACGCGGCATCCGCGTCTGGTGAGCGCAGGGAGGGAGGGATGGATGGGAAGAGGGACGGAGGGACAGAGGGAGGGAGGGAGGGCGGGCGGGAGGGAGGGAGGAGGGAGGGAGTGAAGGCCGGCGGGAGTGAGACGACAGAATGAGAGACAGTAGAGAATGCTAGAGAGGTGAGAGATTCACAGGCGTGGGTGAGAGATAGATATACGCGGGAAGGGGGATAAACGCTCCGAGGCTAGCCTTCTCGGCTTCTACGACGCGGCGTTCGACAATACATGACGAGGTGTGCCACGAGATCTATGAGCGACAGAAATGACGTAAAGGGTCTCAGAGAAGTAACGGGAAAGGACACAAAGGTTTCAGAGCAGCGACGGAAGAAACGCAAAGGATCACAAGCAGGGACGGAAAGGACATATGATGGAGCAGCGAACGTATAGCAGGAAGAGAGTTACCTGTGACTAGTAGCCGTCGATCTGTCCTGAAGGGTACTGGATAGTCTGCAGATGAACAGAGGCACCGAACAGCGGTAACGAATGAGTCTCAGCAAATGAATTCTATGGGAGTTTCACGATGTCTCAAAACGCCGAAGCAGTGGAACTCTACAGAAGCCTACCCGACCCTGAGGTTCATTCGTTCCTGAACCGATAACGACACTATGTAGGAGGCAGAGTTCCGCTATGGGCTCTGTGCACTCTATTCCCGCCGGAATGTTTTCTGTTTGTGGACTCTCACCCGTCTATCAGTCCATTCCGTGCAATCTATTTTTGCCAATTAGCCACCGAGTTTGTGTACCAACTGCATCACTGCCCCGCAACAAGAGGCGTGCCGCGGCCTGCCTGGAACTCCAGACTGCCTTCTCCTAGCGTCACGCGACGAGCCCGCACCTCATTCTTGCAGCTGCTCGTCCTGGAAGTGCGGCAAGCAGCGCCAGTACGATCGGCAGGCCCGCGCGGCCCGCAGAGCAGTCCATCTCGACGCAAAGCTTCCGTGTGACACGCGGGTGTGACTTCATTGACTGATGGCGCGACTTCCGCCTGATGGCACGGGATTTGTAAGATTCTGAAAGTAGTGATGCCCTATTTGTTTGAGATGTCTCACGCGAGGGTGTTGACTCGCCATTGAGACCGTCGCTGAGAATCACTGGGCGTTTAATTGTCCAGCATTCATCCTCGCCGAGCACCCTAGAGAGCATACTCTAGAACAACAAGACGTGAAGCATTGCTGATCTAAAAGCCAGCGGGCTCGTGAATCTCCGTGGAGAACGCTATTCGTTGAGCAAGTCGGATTGCCAAACGCCTGATTCACTCGAGCAGCGAAAACCAGCGGATTGGATAGTGCTCAACGTTGCGCAAGGAGTCTTGGGAGTGCTCTAGTGCACGCCGTTGTCTTTACACTTAGTGTGTCCCTCTACAAAACACGGACCCTTGGTTAGGGGCTGGCTTTGCCAGGCACCCGAGGATCCTTGGAGGTGACCCCGTGGGGACTACTAAGAGTGACTTAAAGGGCATGTATAGAGTTTCTAGATCCCAATAGTGGTCAACAACTGGTATCAGAGCTGAGGATTGGACGTATTGCCGTTAGAACACTATGGAGTCGGGCGACAAAGAAGGTTCTCTTGCACGAGCTGATAGTGGAGTCAAGGATACTGGTGACTCAGCACCAAGGAGAATGCGGTTCGGCCAGGGCTCCCTATTAAAGGAGGTGTTGAAGAACTTCGTCGTCGACAAGTTCAACGGCAACAACTACGACGATTGGGCGTGGAAAATGCAGCTGTATTTTCGGCAAGTGGGCTTGCTGAAGCTGATGACGGGCGTGGAGAAGAGGCCGGACGACGTCAACCTGCAAGAGTGCATATCAACATGAATGCATATCAACCTTCACGAACAGCTCACGGAACTCACAGAAATGCACGAACACAAAATCCACGCACACTCACGACAACTCGCGAAACAACGCAAACGCACACGGAGTCTCGCATTCACACACGAACATTCACAAACACTCAGGAACGCAATCTTTCACGAAAACGCACATAACTCATGAACCGTTGAGACGATTCACGAGCCGTAAACAATCAAACGTGAAGCACGAAAATGCGCAACTCACACATAACAAATTACCTTCAAACGAAACAACTCACTTTCACTCAACGTCGACGAATAGGTGGTAGGTTGTCGTGCAAACCATGTATTGCACTCAACAAACTCCCCCACAACCTGCCGACTATTCGAACCCACATTCGTCACTCACGGACTCGACAACTCCCTTCACCACTTCCATCATTGGCACAGGCGATTTTACATCCTTGCCAAACAGCTCCCCCTTTTCATCTAACTCCATATTTTCACGGTCGATCAGCTCCACCCCATTGCCAATCCCAACACCAGTTTTAGGGGAGACACGCTTCTGCTCCCCCACAAATTCAGCTTCCACGTCATCTGCTGCAACAATTTGCAGCTTCATTGAAGTATTGCCGCTGTCCCCCGAAGTAGTTTCAGCTTCCTCCTTGCTCAGCTTCACATCTGGTTCGTCTGTCCCCTTCGCCCTATCAGCTGCAACGCTTGACAGGTTCTTGACAGTAGGCTTTCCCGACCCTCCTGAGCTCAGCAACATCAGTTTCTCTTCAGCAGCTTCACCCTTCAGCTGCACCATGTCCTTAGGTTTCTGCTTCTCACGAGTGACACACTTGTGCACTCCCTTCTCCTTGTTCACAGCAGCAGCCTTGCTTTCACTGCCCCGGGTTCCAGCACCGTTCTTCTCATCAGCACTTGCAGAATTTCTCCTTTCAGCCGCTGCAAGTCGAGCATTAACCTTGTGCAACTCCTGCACAAGCATCTCCACGGTCACTCTCAACTCCTTAACCGTTTCAGCAGCCACTGCCGCACATTCTCCCTTGCAGCTGCAAGTCCCATTCTCCTTTTCAGGTGCCACCTCACTCCATGGCACCACCGGAACGTGCCACAACTCGTCATGCAGGTCCTTGTCCTCGTGCAAGTCCCACAACACTCGGTCACCGAGCTGCCCCTTGAAGGTTTCAGCTCCATTAGTTGCTGTACATACGCCTGCAAGCCCCATTTTCCTAAGGGAAATTAAATTCCCCTTCAGCTCCGGCACCAAAAGAACATCTTCAAGATTCGTCGGCTTCCCATCAGCTCCCTTGAAGGCTGCCTTGCCGACCCCCATCACTCTCATCTTGTGCCCACACCCAGAGTTCATTTCGGTGATGCTCGTTGCACCAATCTTTTCAAGCAGGTCCGCCCTCGGGGTCATATGATGTGCTGCTCCGGAGTCTAGGATCCATGTGTTGAGGGGATGAGGCTCTGCTCCCTCCTTGGCAGATGCCTTCTCATCTCCCCTACTCCCTTGCACATGGAAGAACTGTCCAGGAGCGCGCTCCCAACCTTGTTCCCCTTCCATTGCGGTCTCTGCTACATAACCAACACCATGATGTTGGTTCTTCTCTCCATCCTCATGCCCGGGAGTCCACCACTTGGGCCGCTTCCAACACTTTGCCCACGTGTGGCCCGGCTTCTTGCAGTACCAGCAGGTGCCCTTGAATCCGCGGTAGCCACCCTCATCATTCTCGGTAGCAGCCTCTTCTTCATCATCACTCGTGTTGCTCGGCTTCTTGTTGACACGTCCACTTCCGTGTTGTCCACGTTCATCATGTCCCCGGCCATTCCCCTTACGCCACCTGCTGCCTTGCACGCCATAGCCACCATCGCCATCTTGGTTGTAGCTCAGCTGCCTCCTCCTGAAATCCTCCTCCAGAACCTTGGTTCGCACCCACTCGAGGGTCCACAACTTCTCGTTCTGAGGAAGGCTCAGGCCACTCGTGAATTGCAGCCAAGACTCGGGCAGCAGTGATAGCATCCGTAGGCACTTTGTTTGCTCCGGGTAGGTGACGCTCGCAATTTGTAGTTTCGCGTACAACTCCCTCATCTTGTCAAGAACCACTTGAATCGGCTCCCCTTCGCTCAGGCGCAATGCCGCCAACTCACGCTCCAGCATGAGCGTTGCAACCACCGAGGTTGGCGCGTGCAAATCCTTTAGCACCTTCCACGCTCGTGGCCCGCAATCAGCTTCTTCCAGCAGGTGCATCACGTGTGACCGCTGGTTCATCTCCAGGCTTTGCGAGAGAAGATAGTAGCCGGCAGTAGCACGCTCGTCCCACTCCTTGGACTAGGTTGGCTTTGGTTGGCTTCGAGACGAGAGGGAGTGCCTTGATCTTTGGTTGGTTGGTTCCCTCCCTTCAAAGCTCGAAGCGCGAACAGGTCGAAGGGAACGCGGTGATTTGAAGAGGATGAAATTATCCCAGACAGCATCTACACGACATCGACGGTTTAAAAATGTTGTACGATAGGCGGGAGTGACAGATCGACCGCTCATCAATGGCGAATACCGTGTGGTGTCATTCGGCTGTCTGACTCAGGAGCGATTTACGGAGGAAATCCATCTCCCCAAGCGCGCATATAATTGAAGAATTATCGTGTGGTAACTGAGACAAGGGAATCCGACGGCTTTCCGCGTTCACCGGAATTTGTCACTCCAGCAACATTCCGCGCATACATGCCAACCCGTTTCTCACAAGCGGTACGACCTGCAGTTCAAACATGTATATTTTCTAGCTAAACCAGATTCTTCACTTCACCTCATCCACATCAAAATTGCCAACCAGCACAAAAACATATGAAAGCTGATTTGTTGACAATATAGCCCATCCTGGATTGATACTTCCCACATCAACATGATTTCACTCACTACAGCACCAGGAATCCTTCAAACATATGCTGCTTCCCAACCCAAGTACTTCGATGAACTGGTAGGTAGATTCGAAATGTTGATTTATTCACTAGCTTTTTCCATCCATTACTAAGATGTCTGCTGAATCGTAAAAGTTAAACCTTTTTCTTCCCTCAACATACCCTGAAGAAAGCACTGAGCTCTTCCTGACACGTGAAAGAACAGGAATACCACTAATGAGTAACGACACACCCGTTTTGTACAAGTACGGTATACCCACAGATACCGTATGCCGCCCTAGCAAATCAGGTCTCATGTCCAGTAACTTTTAGTGAGAGAAGGGGAAATAATTACTAGATAATCGCGATTGGGCACATACTGCACACTTCAACCTGCCCACCATTGCCCAGGCTGACTGATCGTGGATACCGGTAGTGGATTCACATGGCTTCAACCGGCAAACATTGCCCAACTATGCCTCAGGAAGACATAGTAAGTACTATCATGATTCATGCACCATAAAAATCGGCTCCTTTCGGAAATGGTAGAGCGAGTGAGGTGAGTGCGAGTCAGCGAGTGAGGCGAGTGCGAGTCAGCGAGTGAGGGAGCCATGGATGACTGAATGCGAGTGAGCGAGTGAGTGGGTGGGTGAGTGAGTGAATGCAAGCTTAGGAGACGGTACGGCCATAGCTGACAGATGCAATGTACAAATTCTTGGCCCATTTCTCCTGCACAAAAGGTAACACATGCCACCCCATACCATACAGTGCACAACACCACGCCATACCATGCCAGCCAGAAAAGTGTGTGAACAGAAAAAAAAAAAAAGATTTTGCAAGGAAGCTTTCAGAAAGATATGAGAGTGCTGTGCATAACAAACAGACAAAAGTTCACCGGCATGTGTCTCCGCATACCTTAGCTTGACATTTGAAAACATACGATCGGCACATCGTTTGATCGGCGTACATTCATGCGCACTTGCCATGGTTGCAACGCCACACAAGCCCCCCTTGACATGCATGCCCCTGCACACACGGGTGCGTGCATTGCTCACCTCACCTGGAGAGTGCAAGCATTGGTCACTCTCTCACCTTTACATGGGTACTGGGGAAGGCGGACGTTCTGAGGGTCTCCTGGGTCTCATCCGCGGGTCGTCTGCGCGGCACGCTGAGAAGGAAGGCGGCCTGATCCCACGTGGTTGCAGTGGCCGTGATGCGATACCCCATGTCCCACCTTGACAACGGTGCCCCATCAGACAAGGATGCACCGCTCACCTTGTAAGTGTGTGAGGACGCCTCTCGCTCACCTTGACGTGGGTACTGGGGAAAGCCGATGTTCTGAGGGTCTCCTGGGTCTCATCCGCGGGTCGTCTGCGCGGCACGCTGAGAAGGAAGGCGGCCTGATCCCACGTGGCAGCGGTGGCAGTGATGCGATACCCCATGTCCCACCGCCTGTGAATGCCCTCACTGGGGTACAGGAAGTCCAGCTCCACCACCTGCTTATAACGAGTACAACCAGGGGGGAGGGGGGGAAGCGGCAGAGGGGGGAGGGAGGTCATGCGACACCCCATGCCCCATGTCATGCGATAGGTCCTTGCTTGACGGCCCCATACGGCACCATAGACTGAATTACAGGCACATCACATTTAAGCCTCGAATGTGTGTTCCGGTTTCAGCAGGAGAGGGTTTGGGCTCGCCTCAACATACACCCACCACACCGCACCGCACAGCACCTGGTCGGCGAAGCCTGCATGCGGGACATGACGACCCCCAACGAGTGCCAGCAGTGGCAATAACCGTCAAGTAGAAGCCTGTGACTCCCACTCGAGCCACCGCACCTGTCCACACCACACTGCACCCCACTCCACCGCACTTCACCTGGTCAGTGAAGCCGGCGTTGCGGGACATGACGACGCCCCAGCGGCTGCCAGCGGTGGCCATGGACGTCACGTAGAAGCCCTCGCGCCACTTCTTGTTGATCCACTTGAATGGGAAGCTGTCGCTGACCTTGTACGACTGCTGTGTGTAGGGGGTGCCTGGTGGGGAGAGCGGGGGAGAAGAGGGAAGAGAGGGGAGAGGAAGGGAGTGGAGGTAAGGGAGTGGAGGTAAGGGAGTGGAGGTAAGGGAGTGGAGGTAAGGGAGTGGAGAGCACCGGAGGGATGGAGGGAGTGGAAAAGTGGAGTGAGGGAAAGCGCACGGGCAAAGGGAGCGAGGGGGCGGATGCAGAGACAGAGAGAGAGTGATTGAGGGGAAGCGGAAAGAAACACAGGGAAAATGGAAGGCATGCAGGTGAGGGAGTGCATACACCTCACCGGAGCATGACCTTCCAAACTCTACCCCCGCGAGCCCAGCCCACCTTTGGACATGACAACGAGGGAGTTGCCGTTGCTGGCGCCCGCCACTGCTGTGATGTAGAAGTTCTTCTCCCACTGCTCCATGATCCACTCCTGAGTGAGGGGGGAGGGGGAAAGTAGGAAAGGGGTGGGAAGGGGAGCAGCTTGTTTAAGAGTACTAGGCGGCAAGGGGGAATAGTTTGCAGTGAAAAATGTTTTTTCTCCCACTGCAGCAAGTCGCACCCAAATCTGGGCAGCAGGATTGGGCAGGAAGACCCACCCACCTCACTTTGGGAAACGCACCCACCTTGGGCAGGAAGACGTGTGAGAGGTCGTAGACCTGCGCTGTGAAGTTGGTACCCACGTTCATGATGAGCGCCCAGAGGTCCTGATGAGGGCCTTGCAATAGGCAGTAAGACTGTGCAAGCCAGCGGCCAGCCACACCACACCCACCTCACTTAGGGCAGAAGAACAACGCTCTCACCTTGGGCAGGAAGACGAGTGAGAGGTCGTAGACCTGCGCTGTGAAGTTGGTGCCCGCGTCCATGATGAGCGCCCAGAGGTTCTGACACGACGCCACGCTGCTGATGTGCAGCCCGTCCTCGTTGCCCTTCTCCACGTGCTGTGCCAGGCGCGAGTCTGCCACGTTGTAATGATACCTGGCAGGGCAACACACACGCATAACGGAGGGTACGAGTAGGGGAGTGAGCGGTTCTGACAGGGCCCACGCTGCTGATGTGCAGCCCGTCCTCGTTGCCGGCGTGAGTCTGCTACATTGTCGTGGTACCTGCCAGGGCAACAGGCACGCGGAAAGGAGGGACAGTACAGGAGGGGAAGTGGGAGCATCTGAGTGGGAGGTATGGCACGAAGAGGCTATCAGCGCGCTGCTGATGTGCAGCCCGTCCTCGTTGCCCTTCTCCACGTGCTGTGCCAGGCGGGAATCCGCCACGTTGTAGTGGTACCTCATGACGTTAGTTGGATATTACGCTTACGTTTACGTACGTTTTACGTTACGTTCACAGTCCCAAAATGAGTTTACGTTTCCGGGCAGATTCGTTTTTTTTTCAGCTGCCCGGATCATAAAATGTTCCTGGGATTCAAATTACGCATTAAAATTATCTATGATAATGTTATTGTTTCAGCTACGAAATAACCATCTTTAGCCAGAAATTTAGTTGCCGACCATTGTTTGTATTGGCGCGCCACTTTGTGACGCGTTACTTTTGCTAGGCGCACAAACTCAATTCGCGTTTTCCCACCAATTTCACACAAAATCGCGTCTACTCCTCCCCCCAGTGTCATTACTACGACCTCTCCACCTACCCTTGTGTTCCCGTCTCGTGACGTACGCGAGGCCCCGAAGGCTACGCTCGATGCTAAAGCTTTAATTTCACGACCTAATTTTCTCATATTTACTACCTAGAGCTCGGATCTAGATCCTCCAATCTAGCTAATAGAATTCCTAGTCACGACCTAAGTTACGATCTAGGAATGGTGTTACGAAATTCATTAGCGAGGTAGATAGCTATGAAAGAACCGAAGCCTACCGTCAATCCTGAAGTATAACAATTTCGCACGGGACTGTATGCGCTGCCCTGAGCGGATATGCAGCAACATTGCTCTCCTCTCCAGGGCCAAAAGAACATAACTTTTTTTTTGCCGATTTTTTTTTACCCTGCCCGGATCCAAGTTACGCGTATTTACGCGTACGTAAACGTAAACGTAATGTTACGAGTAACTTTACGTTTACGTAGGTCCAGGGACGTACGGACCCATCTTAGGACGTTACAGGCACGCAATACAGAGGGTAAGAGAGGGAAAGCGAGAAGCTGTGGCAGGAAAAGACCTCACTGCTGCTGCTGCTGCTGCTGCTGCTGTGCCTCATTCTATCTATCTGCACCCTAGCTTAACTCTATGCGCCTCACTCTGGCAGGAAGGGACCTCACTCTACCATATCTCACCCAAATTACCTTGAATGCAATCACCTCTGCTTCATGGGGCGTCGCGCGCTGTACACGGAGATCCACTGAGTGGCCGGCATACCCAGGCGAATCTTCTTCCTCAGCTGATCCTCCTACTGTGTGCCACGTGGATACACCCCTCTCTCGAATCCCCCTACCTTTGCTTCATGGGCCGCCGCGCGCTGTAAACGGAGATCCACTGGGTGGCCGGCATGCCAAGGCGGATCTTCTTCCTCAGCTGATCCTCCTCCGCCTCCTCCTCTCCCCCCTCGCCCCGCCCCCTCTTCTGCCCCACCTGCACCTGCCACCACCGCGCAGGGACGTGCACATGGGTCAATATGGTGAGGTATAAATGGGAATGTGCGTATGGGGATGTGCGCATGGGAATGTGCATATGGGGATAACACACGAGGATATACAGATACGGATGCACCCACCACACAGCACTGCACTGTTTTCCAAAAATCCTACCCTCCTTGAGGGACCGTGCCCCCTCCGTATTGAGAGGCAACAGAGCAGGGTTGGGGCTGCGGACGGGGTTAAACATGGCAGCAAACTTGGCACCACACCGCACTGCACCGCACAGCACTGCAAGAAACCCACTGACCTTAAGGGACCGCGCGCAATCTGTGTTCAGAGGAAGCAAGGCCGAGTTCGGGTTGAGGACGGGGTCGAACATGGCGGCGCACTTGGAACCACACCACACCGCACCGCACTACACCCCACTGCAGAATCCCATCTGACCTAAGGGAGCGTGCACCCTTCGTACCGAGCGGCAGCAGCGCGGGGTTGGGGCTGACGATGGGGTCGAACATGGCGGCGCACTTGGAACCACACCACACCCCACTGCAGTCCAGTCCAGAGACCCAGGAGAACCACCACGCACCTTGAGAGAGCGTGCCCCCTCCGTATTCAAGGGGAGCAAGGCCGGGTTGGGGGAGAGGATGGGGTCGAACATGGCGGCGCACTTGGCGTAGTCGGGGCGCTCGTCGAACTTGAGGCTGACCACGTACTCGAGGAAGAGCTTGAAGGGCGGCGGACAGAAGCAGCACAGCATCTCCGGCGACGTGCTCATCTTCTTCTTGCACACCAGGAAGCCCTTGTTGTCGCCCTGATGGGGGATGGGCGCAAAAAAGGGCCGAGAGGCGGAGAGGGTGAGAGAGGGAGAGAGCAATCGGAACAGGAGCAGCGGGGCATGTCCGGTGACGTGCTGATCTTCTTCTTCACTCGGTAATTCTGCGACCTGAAAATTCACCTGACAGCCCTGCCACCTGAGGATTCACCTGACAGCCCTGCCACCTGAGGATTCACCTGACAGCCCTGCCACCTGAGAATTCACCTGAAAATCCTGCCACCTGAGATTCACCTGGTAGCCCTGCCAGGGCAGTCTACCCCGCAGCAGGAAGACGAGCGTGTAGGCGAGCGACTCCAAGTCGTCCCTGCGACTGCCCGTGCGGCCCAGATGAGCGTGCACCCCCGCATAGCGCACCGTGCCCCTGTGAGAGTGGGGTGGGACAGCGGGGGAGTGAAGGGGGTGCTTAACGAGGACCATGAAATGAAGATGCGAACCCCTGTGCGTCTCAGGTGAGCGTGCACTCGCGCACAGCGCACCGTGCCCCTGAGGGACACGACACGATGCCCCTGGTGGGCATGGTGGGCATGGTGGGCACGGTGGGCACGGTGGGCATGGTTGTTGTGATGAGCGAGTGGCAGAACAGGAGGGCGGAAACAGAACCATGCAGAGGGTGCATTGCAGCAGACCCACCTGAACCACCTGAACCACCTGACCTTGTAAGGATGTATGATGATTCACCTGAAGATGTCTGGTCGCTGGTCATACTCCACATGCTGCCCCGTGTTGCTGTCCCTCCACCTCGTTGCTGCAATGCACCACACACAGGTGGTGGGAGCAGAGAGAGAAGGGACGGAGCGAAGAACGGGGGAAGAGACGAAAGGGGTGTGAAGAGAAGAGACAGGGTGAGGTCGCTGGTCGCACTCGGCATATAGAAGCATTTATTTATCATTCTTAACAGGATTGTACCATCGTGCTCCCTTGGGGTACCCCCGCATCCTGCAAACCCCTTGGCTTGACTGCAACCCCAGTCTCGCTTTCTCTATATATATATATTGTTGTTTGGAACGTGTTTAGTTGACTAGAAAACGTCATAGGATCATCCATTTATTTTTAGTCTTACCTAGGCCCAGGTCAACCAGGTACAGCTTCTTTTCCTCTGAGGTCCCGGGCTGCCCAAGAAGAAAGTTCTCAGGCTTCACGTCTCCATGCACGTAACTGGTAGAGGAAAAGCGGGCAGGTAGCCAAATTGATGGGAAGGGGATGGGCGAAGAGCGCAGTGCACAGGGCTTCGAGATGTGGCAAAGAAGAAAAGAAAGGCAGAGAAAGACGAGCGTGCGTTGAGACGTGTGCAAGGAGCAAGGGCGAGCAGGGATGGGAGAGGGAGGGGCGATGCACCCAGAGAGGGGACAAGGGCCTGGGACAACGGGCACTGCATTCACTCACCCTCGCCCCTGTGATAGCATAGCACGGACACACTCACCCTCGCTCGTGCACCTTCTCCAATATGGAGAGCGCCTCCGCTGCTATGCACGCCACCATCTCCGTTGACATGCTGGTGGGGGGGGATGGATTGGGGGAGGAGGGAACGGGGGAGGGGGGAACGGGGGAGGGGGGAACGGGGGAGGGGGAAGGGGATGGATGAGGTGATCTGCTTGCATCTGAAGCAATGCACGCCACCATCTCCGTTCACATGCTAGCGCGGGGGGGAAGGGGACGGGGAGCAGGGAGGGGAGTGGGAATGATCGCGAAAGGGATGGGCACGAATAAGGCACAAGGTGAAGGGGAGAAGCTGCAGCGATGCGCAGCACTCTCTTCGTTGACATGCTGGCGTGGGGCACGGGGGAAGAAGCGAATAGGGGGGATTGGGAAGGGAACGGGCATAGGAGTGGATCAAGCGAAGGAAAAGGGCACGGGAAAGCGAGAAGAGGAAGAATAATGTGCAGATCAACTCCTGCTGTGCGGCTCATGGGAACAGCAGAACAGAGCAGGCGGCTCATGGGCTCATGAGCATGCCAAGCAAGCATGCACCCACGTCTTTACGTGACATGCTGCAGACTTTGCCATGCTGCAATGCAACAGCATACGATGCCATGCGGATGCAGCAACGCCAGCAGAGTCCAGCAGAGAGCAAGGGCACTCACGCTTGGTTGTGGTTGTTCCACACGTCCCACAGGCTCGGGCCCAACAGGTCCATGACCTGCCATGCCATCACACGAGCGCACACACAGAGGCAGCAGGCAGGGAGGAGGAGAGCGTGAGGCTGGGGGGAAGGGAACACAACCATGTAAGCACGTGCACCAACTGATGCACACAAAGCAGGCGGGAGAAGGGCGAGGGGCGAAAGAGAGGGCAAGGTGGGCGGGAGATGAGTTCAGGGTCAGAAGGGAGAAAGAGCAGAGAGAAGAGAGAGAGATTGCGAGGAAGGGAAGGAGAGATGGGGAAAGCGGGGTGGGTGAGTGAGGTACAGGGACAAGGGTTGAGTCAGTATGAGAATGAGTCACGGAAGCAAAAACTCAGGTCTTAATGAAAGACATGCCACGCAATGCATGCCACTTGCCATGGCATAACAAATCTCACCCTGACTACCATCATGCAAGCAGTAGTCACCCCCCGCTCCCCCTTCCCCCCTCTCCCTTTTGTTTTCTCCTCTTTTGGGTCTCGTAGGTGACGCAAGCAGCAGCAGAGGCCCCGCGTACCATGATGTAGTAGTCGCCCTGCCGCCCCTTGAAGTGCACTCTCGGCACGCCATGGCTGCCGCCCAGCGTTCTGCATGCGTGAAGGGGGAGAGGGGAAACGGGAGGGTTGGAGGGGTTGAGGGGAAGGGTGGGAGGGTATGGAGGGGATTTGAACCATGGGAAAGAGAGCAACAAGATTATGAGTTTCAGTCGAAAGAGATCAACAACCCTCTTTGTTTCAAAATAGCTTTCTGGTGCCAGTCCCCGTTCACAAACTCCAAGGTTCTAGTGCTACGGTCCCTCCCAGTCCCACTGTGCACGCACGTGTACACCTGCCACTCGTAGGGCGGGCCGTAGTTGCACCCCTTGCTGCTCCGGTGCTCCAGCTTCAATGCCACCTGCACCCCACCGCCCACCATGCACGCCCAACACGCCCACCACGCACGCACAGGACGCACAGCAGAGTCAGCAAGCAGGCAAAGACAGCAAGCAGGCCAGCGCAGGAATTCAGGCACATGCTTTGACATGTCTCAGCACTCAACCGCAGCAAGCAGCGTACACCTGCCCGAACCCGCCCTTAACCAGCATTGACTCGACTCAAAACTAGCCGTTAACCTCCGTCGCTCATCTCACCTCCACGGCGTTTGGCCCAACCCTCTCGTTGCCGCCGCTCACGCGCCTGCCCACATACACCTGCCCGAACCCGCCCTTCCCCAGCTTCCGCTCCATCTTATACACGGGCGACCCGCCCACTTGCACCTGCGGGAATAGGGCGCATCGTAAATCACTGAGGCGCGTCAACACTGAGGCGACACTAGACTCGACTCTGAAGCTTCCGCTCCATCTTATATACGGGCGACCCGCCCACTCGCACGTGTCGGGAAAGGGGCATCACGATATACGGACGCGACAGTAGGTTCCATTCTGAAGCTTCCGCTCCACTTTATGCATGGGCGACCCGCCCACTTGCACCTGTCAGAACAAGCGGTATCGTGATAAAAAATTATGCGCTTTAAAGGTCGGAAATGGGCGTTTCGTGATATACTGAGCGGACAGTAAACGGGACTCTAAAACGTCCGCTCAATCTTATACACCGGCGACCGGCCCACTTGCACCTGTCGGGGAAAAGCAACGGTAAGAATCACGTGCGGAGGAACCCGCTACACTATCCGATAGTGACCGGGGACTCATCGTGATTCTGGACGGATACTAGTTTGATACGAATGTGAAACGCATCGAGATTCAGATCTGCCGTACTCTTTCGGGCAGCGCAGTGGAGCCCGCATCCGCGTCCGCCGCTCCCGCCGCTGCCGCTGGCGCTCGGTCTCTATCCGCGCTTTTCCGCTCGCTCTCTTCCTCCATGACCGCGCTCCGAGCTCGTTCCCGACGATCTAAGTAGTGAAGCTTTGTACTCTGGAATTGACGTTAGGTGCTTTTTCTAATTGAATCAAGTATTAGCGCGTATAACACGTGGCTTCAATTTGGAACAGCGGTCCGAAGTAACCTAGCTCGCACAAGAACTGGTACCTGCGGGCAAGAAACCAACAAGCCGCTTAATACATTTGCCCCAATATTTCCAGATTTGGCAAGTCGAGCCCCAAACAGACTGGATGCAGGCGACTAAATCACGACTGCAAAACTTGCTGGTACGGGTCGACGCGATACAATAGAGGGAGCTAACCTAAAACGTATGTCTGCTTGGACATAGACGCTTGAAATAGGAGCAAGGAGAGGGGTGAGCTCGAGAAAGGAAGTTCAGTTTGGAGCTCAAGTCGCCACCACCAGCAGTCCAGCGTACACCCGCACGGCAATCTCGAGGAAAAATTGCCGCGCGGTTTGGGTTGCTGGCGCGAGCAGATGCTCGGGGGAACTGGGGCCACCGGGGGGAAACTTGCTTGCCAGCGCCGCGTGAAGCGCAAAGGAGGCGGAAGGAAGGCGAGATGAGCTTGCGCGTATGCGGCGGAGCAAGGGTTTCAGTTCAGTTCAGAAACTGGCTGGCTACGATTGGTTGGCTGATGAGTCAGTGACGCGGCGACGTGAATTTCGAATTCTTTCCCGCGGGGCAGTTGGGGCCACGAGATTTTGCGAAACACCGGATTTTTCACACCACCACGTGCTACGACCGGCGACTTCTGCGGGCAGGATATTTTCCAAAAGGCGGGGTGGTTGGTTGGTGTAGATGTGAAGCTGGTGGTGGAGGTTCCCACTGGCAAGCGTCAAGCTGGGCGGTACTGCTGTCCACCTGCAAGTGTACATGACGTCACAATGTGTACACCATCTCCAGCCTCCCACACACTATACAATGTACGGTATATAATAATTACGTCCATTTGAGACCTATACTCCACTATACGTAGTTGTCGCAAATATTACGAACAGGGTGATACAACCACTGGCAACCCGAAACTAGTATGTACTGCAAACAACTCATCAATATCATCTCCATCTCCATCCTACGTATCGTCCTCATCAGTTTCCAATGAAAAACCATACATGCCACCCCTGCCACCATGACTGGTACCCTCTCCACCACTGCTGCACCTCCCCCTGCTCACATCAGAACGCCGACTCCCTCCAACTGCTGCCTTTCCATGCCTCCTGTCTTGGCTTCCAACCCCGTCATCATCCTCACCACCACCACGTGAATTATCCCCACCCGAGTCATCATTACCACTATAACCATTCTCAGAATCATCATACTCATCGAATGTATCGTCAGCAGAGGCATTGCCAGCAGCAGCAGCAGGACCCACGGCTGCTGCAGCACCGGTGCGAGCAGCTTTCTGCATCCAGAGAAGCTGAACCAGCGCTTGCTGCTGCTGCACCTGCTGCAACAGCATCTGTTGCTGCTGCTGCTGACGCTGCTGCAGCATGTGTTGCTGCTGCTGCCGCTGCTGTTGCTGCTGCTGCTGCAGCAAAACCTGCAACCACTGCTGCTGCTGACGCTGTTGCTGCTGATGCTGCTGCTGCTGCAGCCATTGCTGCTGTTGCTGTTGTTGTTGCTGCTGCTGCTGCTGCTTCTGCACCAGAAATGCCTGAAAAGCAGCCATGTTAGGAGCATCCATAGCATCACCTAAACCACCCATACCTCCTGAGGTCTGCTGCTGTGCTGATTCCAGTGGCCCATGGGGTGTGCTGCTCCGCTCAGTGCCCTTCTTCTCTTCCGCTTCCCTGCCCGCATCACCATGACTGCTGTCACGATCCGCATCCTCACGATCGCTATTGTCACAGTCGCTGTTGCCACAACCAGCATAGTCACGAGTATAATCCTCACTATCCATGTTTTCACAATCACTATCACCGGCAGCGGTAGTAGCAGCTGCTGCTGCATCCTTGGCAGCAGCAGTGGCAGCAGCAGCAGTCACAGCAGCAGCAGCCGCAACGTCAGCGTCTGCACCCGAGAGGGGTGCGTAGCCCCCCAAACTCAGGGTAACCCCCGGATTTGGTACAGCGGAGGGAGGGCAGGCAGGGACAGAGGCGGCAGCAACAGGAGCCGGAGCAGCACCAACAGGAGAGCCAGCAGGAGCCCAGACAGCATTGCCGGGCATTGGATGCTGGGAAGGACCAGGAGAAACCCCAGGTGAAGGGCCAGGTGTGGTCTGGTAAAGCGGGTAGCTCCACAACCCTGCCAAGCCTCCGACCATACCAGCTGCCGAACCTACAGGCACGGGGCCGGTAGGTACGGCCGATGCAGGACTGGGGCTCTTGAATGTATGGGTGGCAGGTATGGGATGCGGGAGAGGGGGGGTGTGAACAGGGCTACAGCGAGTGGGACTAGCCTGTATTGGGCTAGCACGTGTGGGGCGATGTGGCGAGCTGGATGCTGCAGGGTCCCGGAGCCCCTCTGCTTGCTGAGATGCTTTCTTCTGCCCCTGCCCCTTGTGTTCTAAATGCTGCTTCTGCTGCTTGTGCTGCATGTGCTGTGAGTGCACCCGTGGGGAGCGCGACAGAGCAGGAGCGGCAAGGGATGCTGCTCTGGGGCTCGCTTGCCACTCCCCCCAATGCTCCTCCCCCCTTCCCCTATCCTCCCCCTTCTCCTCCCCCATATCCTCCCCCATACCCTCCTCCTGCCTTCTTCTCTTCCTCCTTGCCCTTTCCGCAGAGCCAACTGCAGCACTAGCAGCACCATCACCCCTCCCCCTCTCCTCATTCCCCCGCTCCTCTTCCTCCATAGCCCCTCCTCCACCAATCGCAGCAGAGAATCCTTCCGTATCCGTCCGAACCACTTGCCCCGGCAATCCCCGAGCCTGCGACTCAGCCTCGGCACAGGCGTGCAGCGCAGCTGGCGAGGCGCGGACGGGGGGTTGGGGCGGGCGGAGGGGATGGAGAGGCGCGGGGGAGAGGGGCGAAGGGGGAAAGGGCGCGGGGGAGAGGGGGGCGGAGGGGAGGGGGGCGCTGGTGGCGGAGGGCTCGGGGGAGGGGGGGCGGTCTGCTTGAAAGAGCTCTTGCTGCACGATGATGAGTGAGTGCAGGTCCAGCAGCTGGGTGCGCACTATTCGCTCATGCCTGGTTGGATGGGGGTTCGGGAAGGGGAATAAGAAACGGAAGTGGGAGGGCGAGTAGACGAGCATCAGAACGGGAAAGAGAGGAGAGAAAGGGAGGGAATGAGAGGGAACGCGAGGAAAGAGAGAGGAAAAGGCAGAAACACGCTGCGCTCACCTCTGCATGCCTTGCTGCAGGCGCCAGAACTCCCGCTGTCCCACCACAGCCACCACGTCACACGCCCTCACTCCTCTCTCTCCGCTTTCGCCCCTCACTCCCCTCACTCCTTCCTCCCTCACTCCTCCCCTCACTTTTTCCCCCCTCACTCCTCCCCTCACTCCTTCCCCCCTCACTCCTCCCCTTGCTCCTGCCCTCTCTCCACCTTCCCCCCTTGCTCTTCCATCTGTCCTCACTACCCCACTCACATCCCTTCCTCCTACCGCTGCTTCCCTCCCCACTCCTCCTATCCCACCCGCTTTATTCCCCTCCTGCCTCTGCTCCTTCTCCTGCTCCTCTGCTCTCGCTTTATTCCCCCCCGCCACTCCCCCCCAACCTCCCGCCACAATCTTTCCGCCACCCATAACAGCAAGCATGGCAGCCGCGGCTGCTGCAGCAGAATCAGGAGAGGCAGCGGCAAGGGGGGCAGGCAGCGGGGGTCCGAAGGCGGAAGGAAAGGCGGAGGGGGAGGGGGCGAAAGGGGAAGCGGCGCCGGGAAGGGCGAAGGGAGAGGCGGAGGCGGAAACAGGGGGGTTGGGGGAAGTGCGCGAGTGGTGGCGCCACGCCCAGAACGCGCTCTCCGCCGCCTCATCCCGCGGAGACGAGCTGCCGGGGATCCGCGCCCCTCCGCCCGCCATTGCCTCCGCCATACCTTCCGCCCTCCCGTCCGCCAACCTGCCAGCTCCGCCTCCCCCGCTTCCTTCCGCAATTGTGCCCGCGGCGGGGCTTGGGAATCCTGGAAATCCGCCGGAGCTTCTGGATGCGCCTGATGCATGCGGGGGGAGGGGAGTTGCGCCCATGGCGCGCGGCCGCGCAGATACCCCCCCTGCTGCGCTCGCAACGGGAGACGCGGCGGACGGGGCGGAAGGGTCGGAACCCGAGGACGGCCCGCCGACAGAGTGTGTTGCGCACGCGGCTTGGAACGCTGGAGACGCGGCTTCGTGGAAGCTTCCAGACAAAGAGTCTCTGGTACGGGCGGCAATGGAAGCGCGAGGCCCGCTGCTGTTGCTGACGGGTGCCGACGGGAGCTTGAAGGCTGCTTGTAACGGGTCAGGAGCTTGTAACGAGTTCGCGGCTTGCGAAGAGTGCGGCTGCGCGGAAAAGGGCTGCTGGCTGGCGGCTGCGAAGGGCGCGTAGGCGAACTTGGACACGTGGCAGGGCGGCAGCACGGAGGCTGCGACCTGATTGGTGGGCGGGAGGGTGCGGAAACGGGGCAACAGTCGTAACGAGAGGATTCCATGTGGATTTTCAAGCTTGAGTTAGAAGGGAAGTTGCCAGTGATTGGCAGCCTGATGGCGTGACGGGATGGCGAAGTATGCATGCGCGGATGGGGGGTTAACACCGCCGCATCGGAAAGAAGCAACTAACCTGGAGAAGTGAAGGAAAACGGGTAAAGGGAAATACGGGATAGGCGAAACGATAACAGCTTGACGCATAGGGAAACAACGGGAACGCGGGAGGCAACAGGAAGGCGGGAGGCAAGCATACCCCAGCGGCGGCGGGAAGAGCGGGAGAAGCTGCGAATGCTGGTCCTGAACCGCTTGACGGGAAACTGCTTGACGGAAAGCTGCTTGACGGGAAACCGTTGAAGGGGAAATTATTTGACGGGAGACCGCTTGACGGGAAGGCGTTCGACGGGAAACCGCTTGACGGGAGACCGCTTGACGGAAAACTGCCTGACGGAAAACCGCTCAGCGGAGAAACGTTCGCTGGAAAAACGGTAGACGGAAAGCCGCTTGTCGGAAAACTGCTAGACGTAGCGCAGAACGGGGAGGATGGGGGGAGAAAGCCGGGGAAGCCTAGCGGAGAAGCGAGAGACGCGGCGCGATGGCGCTTAGCGGAAGGCAGCGCTAAGGCCTCGTACAGCGCCATCTTGTTCCGCGGGGGAGGCCTGGGACCCGCCGCCGCTGCCGCTGCCGCGCTGCGCACGTCCATCCGCGGAAACAGCGCCACTGGCTCCGCCGGTTGGTCTCTCCCACTCCTACTACCGCCCCTATGACTCGAATTTCTACTCATTCTTTACAGCTGTCGTCTACCTGCGGAGGTACTAAAACGAGAATCTCGAGAACGCTGATTGGTACTAACAAATGTAGAAACGAGTATGATATTTAGTAGGAGCACGCTAAGACGCTCGACCTGAATCGGATAAGCGTAGAGTCTTTCGTACGGGTAATCCTGAATGATTCTTTACAGCAGTCGTCAAACCAAGCTTACTATCAGCAAGCCGGGAGCCAAAAACGGGATAAAGCTACGAGGTCGTAATAGGCCTTGATCGTGTCTATATTCCCTGAGCGCGAACGATACGGTGCGAAGCTAGGAGGGGACACCAACGAAGAAGATAACGGTGGCGACATCATTCATGAGTCGTGATGAGCAGCAAGAAGCTAGACGAGGAGGGAGAGGTGATGGAGGGAGAAGCAGAGAAAATGAATGGACGACATGGATGGAATCTCGAAAGAAGAGCCAGAAGAGGAAGGAGAGGAGGCGCATGGGTAGGGATGGTTTAAAATGGGTTTGGAGGGATGGAAATGATGGGTTTCTGTGGGAGCTTGAACAACACGACAGGGCACCACAAGTGCTAGAAAGCGTGGAAGGAAAATATCTTTTGTTGAAGTTGGGAAAAGTGCATAGAAAATTTCGAAAAAGCAACAGTGCTTGGATTCACATGGAGTCTAGGCGACTAATCGATTGACACCTGCACAGAAAATCTTTTGCTCTCGGGCAAGGTGGATTCAGCGGGTCAAAGTGAAGCCTGGTAGCAGCGGCGCGAGCGGGCTTTGTGGTCAGAATTTCTGAAACCCTTGTTTCGTCAGTTGGTGGCGCAGATGCATGCATGCATGCTGTGCTGTACAGTAACGACGTTCATTCACTACACCCATGAAGGACTTCTTCCCAGACGGGGACCGTCGTGGCTGAGCAGCAGCGGAATGCGAACGTCGAGTGTACTACCTAAATCTGTACATAATATACAAACTAAATGCAAATGTTGTACACACCCAAAGACTAACACAATTTATATGTACACTAAAATGAGAGAACCTCCCTGCTATACAAGCTCCCAGTTGTCACCAATGTCAGAATCGTTATCTTCCAATGAATCTCCCAAAGAAGAGCTGTCCATCTCAGGCACCTCTTTCACCACATAGCTCACCAGATCGGCCCTATTGCCCACAGTGAGGAGCGGCGCTCCATTTGACAGTTGAGCGAGCTGCTCAATTCGACGGCACATATCCTCAAAATCACCTGAACGCGTGAGAAAAAGAGTGGCATTGGGAAGAAATTGAGAGGTCGGGGTACAACACAGCATGCAAACATGCCATTTCAACCCATAGTAGCAGCAACTAGAAACTCTCTAACGGGTTGTTTCCGTTGTAACAAGCGACCCAAATTTGAGGGCCTTTAAAGAAATAAATATTAGCGGCTACCTTGGGTTGCACAGTAGAAGCCGAGAGCCAGAGAGGAGTCCATCCCTGATAGAGGCATGCGCCGGATAGTGCTGCTGGGGACACAGCGCAAGGAACAGACACACATTCTCAGGCGGTAAACAAAGTGACATGCGTCAGATGGTGCTGCTCTCATGGGAACGAAGCAGGGATGAGTATAGAAAAGAAAATAGAATAAAGAAAAGAGAGAAAAACTCACCTGCAATGGTAGGATGACGTGTCCAAATGGCATGCGCTGATTGGTCCTTCCGGAAATGCAACAGCCTGCAGGGGGAAACCAGGTGGTCCAGCAGTGGGTGGGCACTGGGTTAACTATTAAGGGATAGGGTTACCCCCATAAAGATCGGAAGACACGAATGGTTACATGACACTATGGTCGAAGATCTCCTCTTAACTCTAATGAAGCACTGCAAACTATTCACAAATTGTAACCACATATGTTCTCCGGCAGTGGGTAGTGCAGGTCCAGGAAGAGCACATCGCTCTGGTGCATGCCAATAAAGAAGAGCCACATGTGCTGCTTGCCGCCCATGCACGCCTTTGTAAACTGATAACCACATGTTATTGAACCTTGCAACCAGAACTTGTTCACCTGCTGTGGGTAGTGCGGGTCGAGGAAGAGCACGTCGCTCTGGTGTGTGCCGATGAAATACAGCGACGTGTTGGGCTTGCCTCCCGCAATGCCCACGCTCTGCGGGAAGGCGAAAGTGCGTCGTAGCGCCTCCTGATAGCTGCAAGGTGGCAGGGTGCGGGAATTTGATGAGAAGCAGCGGACGGGGAGGAAATGAGAGGAGGGAAACAGCCTGGGAGAAGACAAACGGTCTGGGGGAAGGCGAATGGGCGGCGCAGTGCCTCCTGGTGGCTGCAGGGTGGGAGGGTGCGAGGAAGCGAGAGACGAGGGAAAGAACGGATTGACTGCAAGCCTCAACGTGCGCGGCAGCCCCACGTTACCAGCCAGATTGTGCCACAGCCTCACCGGGCGTCCATGTGGTCGACACCGAGAACCAACGGCACCAGGATCAGCACCGACCGCCATGTGCTCGCCTCCCCTCCCCTCTCCCCTCCCCTCTCCCCCCCTTGCTCATCCACTGCCGCCCCATCTTCTGCATCCTTCCCCCCTCCCTTCCTCTCCTCCCCCCTTCGTCCTCCCCCCCCGCCACACAGCGCCATCACCTCATCAACACACAGCATTGGCGCACCTCCCCCTCCCTCCCCCCCCGGATGTGCTCCCACCACATGCACGCGCATGCCCCACAACGGCCCCTCCTTGCCCCACAGTCCTCCTTCCTCACTCTGTGACAAGTCGCCAGCTTCCTCGCCGTATTCCCGTCCCTCACCATCTCTTCTTGCTTTGGCTCTTCTCACCATCCCCCCATCCCCATTCTTTTCGTCCCTTTCACTGTCCTCCCCTTCTTCTCCTCTCCCCGTCTCCTCCTCAACCACACCACTCTCCCCTCCCCCCTCCTCCATCTCCCGAATCAAGCTCCCGAGCGTGACGCACAGCCGGTACGGCCCAAGCCACACCCCAGCCTTGACGCCGAGCCTAGCCCCGGCCCGAACCAAATGGTGCAGAGAGAACGGGGAGAGCGGAGAGGGAGAGTCGGCAAAGAGACGAACGACCTCGTAATAGGCCTGGGGGGGGTGGGGAGGAGAGGATGGGGGGGACGGAGAGGAGGAGAGTTGGAGGGAGAGGAGAGGGGGAGTGGGGGGAAATGGACGAGGGGAGCCGTTTATGTGAGTAGCAGGTATGAGAAGTGGGCCCGAGCAAGACTAAATAGTAAGCCTACTCTCCTGTTGGCATTGAAAAGGGAAATTGCTTTATAGCGGGTGGCTGGCAGGTGAGTAGATCGGGCATAAATGATTGGGCGATAACGCTGAGTGCGAATGTGGGAGTGACGGGAGTGGTGGGAGACAGTAAGCATGTGGCATGTGCTCTCCTCCCCTCACCTATCAACGATCCCTCCGCTCACCTCCCCATCCCCACCATCCCCTCCCACCTCCGCCTCCCCACTACCCCCTCACCTCCCCTTCCTCACCAGCCCTCCTGACCTGCTTCTCCCTCGCGCTGCATCCTCACTCGTTTTCCACCTCTCACCCACGCCTCCTCTCACCTCCCCCTCCCCGCCACTCCCCCCTCACCTGCTCCTCCCTGCCGGCATGTCGTCTCCACTGGCGGCCCAGGCGGTGGCACAGCAGGGCCTGGGAGGGTGCAGAGAAGGGAGGACGGAACAAATCAGAGGGACAACAGCCTGTAAGATCTCTCCAGGACTCATGGCTGGGCTTAGAGAGCATGGGAAGGAAGGATGAAACAAAACTGAGGGACTAAGTCATATTTGTCACAGGAGAGGAAAAACAACATCAGATAAGGCTATTTCAGAGTTGTTTCAAAAGCTGGTGGCACAGCAAGGACCTGGAGGGCACAGACAAGGAGAGATGGAAAATAGACAGGGCAGGGGAAATGGAAGGGGGGGGGACAACAACAACAGTATTAAGAGCAAAAAAATCCATAGCAAGAGTGAGGAGGCCAATAATACCTGTGCGAGCATCATCTGGCCGGTGCGGAACATGCAGCCCCACCCCGTGTCCGTGGTGAAGCCAGCACCAGCACCACCACCAGTGGCCCCACCGGCAGAAACAGCAGCAGCACCAGCAGTAGCGCCGCCATCAGCTTTACCAGCGCTAACAGCGCTACGAGCAGCAGAAGCAGCAGCATCAGCCCCAGTAGTGCAGGGCAAGGGGGGAAAGCCCCAGCGGTACGTCATCCATAACCGCGACTGCACATCCACCACTAAGTCCTCCCACGCCCCTCCGCTCCTCACCTCCTCCCCACTCCTTCCCTCCTCCCCGCTCCTCCCCTCTTCCCCACTCCTCGCCTCCTCTCCGCTCCCCCGCTCCTCCCTATTCCTTCCCTCCTCCAAGCTCCCCTTCTCCTCCCTGTTTCTCCCATCCGCCATAGTCTTCCCTTCCTCCACGCTCCTCCCTTCAACCCTCCCTCCTTCCCTATCAACGCTCCCTCCACTACCTTCTCCATTGCCCCGCCGTTCCCTCTCTGTACTCATCTGAAAATCACCCCCCTCCCCATCCCCACCTTCTCCTGTACCACTTCCCCCACCCTTTCCCTCATCTCTCCTCTCCTCCAAACCCCCAGGTCTCCTCTCCTCCCCCTCCCCCTCCCTCGCCTCCTCCCTCCTCACCTCCTCATCCTCCCACTCCGCGTATCTCACCCCCAGCACCCACACCGCCTCGCCACAGGCCAAGTCCGGCTGCCTGTGGCACGGGTGGGCAACAAAAGACAAAGAAGACCAGGGACGAGAGAACAGAAGATGATTAAGTCAACAAGTGAGGAAGACGAGGAAGAATGACAAAGTAAGCTTCTATCAACCTTTGCCTTCCTGCCTCGCCCGATAATCCCTTCACCTACAACAAGCAGCCACCCTAAAATCATCTACTAAACGTCCCCAAATTCACGCCTCCCCACCTGCATGTACCCCTCCTAACTTGCATCTACCTCTTCCCACCCGCCTCGACCCCTCCCCACCCACCTCCACCGATTCCACCAGCATCTAGCCCTCCCACCCACCTCTACCCCTCCCCACCTGCATCTACCCCTCCCCACCTGCATCTACCCCTCCCCACCTGCATCTACCCCTCCCCACCTGCATCTACCCCTCCCCACCTGCATCTACCCCTCCCCACCTGCATCTACCCCGGGCATCCTTCACACGCCACCAGGAGTGCCTCAGGCAGACCAGGAGGGCTCTGGGGCAGCTGGCCACGCACACGGGGAGGAGGGATACGGGAGCAGAGGGGCATCAGCGGTTTGCACCCTGCTTTTATGTCCCATCACATGAACGAACGAACGGACCCTCCTCGCACACAGCATCGATCCACCCATCTTCTCCTCCCCCCCACCCTACCCCTTCCCCACTATCTTCCCCACCCTTTCTATAGTCACCTGGCAAAGACGTCTTGTATCCGCCGAAGCTGCAGCGAGTGGACCAGATTGGACGCCAGCAAGGCCAAGGACGACCGAGCCTCGCCTGCAGGTTCGGAATCCATGGCGCGGGTCAGCGAGCCTAGGAGATCCGTGGAGCCCAGTCCCGAGGATTCCAGCCAATCACGGAGCTCCATGGAGAAGCAGGGGGCAGAGACGGCGCTAGAGCCAGCAGCGCCACCGACAGGAGCAGCAGCAGGAGCTTCAGGAGCAGCAGCAGCAGCAGCAGCAGCGACAGAAGAAGCAGTTGAAGTGTCAGGATCGGAAGCGGCAGCATCATTAGCGGTGGAAGCAGCGTCAGTAGCTGTAGCAACAGCGACGCGAGCCGGAAGCGGAGAACCCAAGCGGCCCTCAGAGGCCGATCCTGGACTCACCACGGTGCCTTGGAACCCACTTAGCCAGGCTGCGAGGGACGGCGAAGCGGACGAAACGGTGGTAACCAGCTGCTGCAGCGCACTGTACGCCGTCTCCTGCTCGCTCTCTCGCCTCTCCTCACTTTCCTCCCCTCCCGCGTCCGGAACCCGTGTCACCATATTCTCCTCCTCACTTGTCTCGAGATTCCTGTCATCCAAATCATCCTTAGTAGCCGTTCCACTAGTACTTCCAGCACCAACATGGGATGCCATTATCAATGAAGGAATTACCATACGAAAGTATAGACCGACCGAGCTACAGTACCGACGGGCCGAAGCGCACGAAAAGAAACATAGGACGGCCACGAGTCACTACCGTGGAAGTATTTTATAGTACATCCGGCAAATTCCGGAGCGTAAGCTCGCACTTCTAAGGATACAAATCGGGCGAGCTACGGTAACATCGGCTGACGCACGCGAAAGTGACTCGTGGGATAAGGAACATAGGAGACCCACGAACCATCGCCATGCTTCATGTCTAGGCTCCAAGCTCTTATGGTGTGAGCCTGTCAGTCAGGAGCCAGGGACATGCGTGCTGAAGGACGAGATTCCCAAGGGTGCGATACAGCCTTGATAAAATTACTGTACTGCCGAATTGCTACGACAGGTTCTTCATTCTTCATTATTTCTTTATAAGAATCTCTTGTTCATATTTGGCAAGAGAAGGCACTAAGCTAGTAACGGGACAATAATTTCCTCAACCCATCACTTTCCATGTACTAAAATGCTACAAATGCAATGGCAATACAATAGACTCTAAACTTCACAACACAAGCTTTGAATACACCACGACCCCACACACACGCACAAGTCCTATTGCTGTTATGTGAAAACCTGCAACTTGCAAACCCTGAATGGCAGAAGGGCTCTTTGACCCATACATCCATTCCTCTCTCCAGCAAACCGGTCAACATTGACACGTATGGCCCCACATGTATAGCCCGTGATTCACATCGAACCACTCCTGTAACAAAGAGAATCCAGAAGCCCCTAGACGCGCATCTTGACGACGTTTTGAATGAGTGTGCCAAGCCCAGGTAGCCCCTTGGCCATGATCTCAATCCGCGCTGGGTTGGAGGCGTGCTTGAAGAGCGATAGGCCGAACGAGATGAGCTGCAGGGGAGAGGCAGACAGTGCCGAAAGGAAGGCAAGCGCACAAGGGGAAGGGAGGGGAAATCAGCATGGGGGACTAGTGGACACTGTATAAATGCTTGTTCACATAATGAATTGGGAGGCGGCGGAGAGAAGGGAGGATATAGGAAAAAAATACATCAAGCATTTCTGCTAAGTCAAGGGGGGATGAGAGGCAGCATACCTCGACGATGTTGAGGCGAGAGGAGAGGAAGCCGTGCCACTGGTAGGGCGTGAGGTCAAAGAAGGCATCAAAGAAGCGCCGGTTGCCTGCTAAGTCCAGCTGTGAGGGGGAAGAAAAGAAAAAAGGAGAAGGCGTGTGGTGAGCATCGGCTAATGATGAAGCTGACAGGGGGAGGGTGTGGATCCCTGAGGGAGAGCACAGAGGCCAATCCCAAAAATCACCCACCCTGAGTGGCACCTGCTCTGAGAAGCACCCCTTTTGAACCGCACCCACCCGCAGCAGCATTGCACCGACCCCCAGTAGCACAGCACCCAGCTGCAGCAGCATCTCTTTCAAGGTGCACCCACCCTGAGCAGCACAGCACCCACCCTGAGCAGCACAGCACCCACCCTGAGCAGCACAGCACCCACCCTGAGCAGCACAGCACCCACCCTGAGCAGCACAGCACCCACCCTGAGCAGCACAGCACCCACCCTGAGCAGCACAGCACCCACCCTGAGCAGCACAGCACCCACCCTGAGCAGCACAGCACCCACCCTGAGCAGCACAGCACCCACCCTGAGCAGCACAGCACCCACCCTGAGCAGCACAGCACCCACCCTGAGCAGCACAGCACCCACCCTGAGCAGCACGTCCATGCCGAAGCAGAAGAACTCGCGCTGCTCCTTGCGCCACAGTGGCCACACGTCCTCCCACACGCGTGCTGACAAGCTGTCACCGCCCCTCCGCTCGCCCTGCTCCCGCCCCTCCCGCTCCAGCTGCTTCACTATCGCCGCCGCCACCACTGGCGCTGCTGCCAGCGTCCGCGCCACCATGTAGCCTGGGGAAACGGGGGTAGAGAGGGGGACGGGAGAGAGTGGGAAAGAGTGGAGAAGGGTGGGACAACAGGAAAGCGGGGTACTTGCTGTGACCCAAGAGGCTGCTGCAAGGGTCGAGGGCACCGTGTAGTCTGGGGAAGGGAGAGAGTGAGGGAACGGGGGAAATTGCGGGGAGATGTGGTATTTGGTTGACTTAGAGATGGAAAGGGGTCGGCACAAATAAAAAGGGGCACAGGTTGAAAAAGGGATCACAGATGGAAAGGAGGATGATAAGTTGATCTATGGGCCTGCTGGGAGAATGTGAGCCACCATGTAGCCTGGAGAAGGGGAACTTTGAGGAAAGGTTGCACAGAGGGAAAAGGAGGGCCCAAGGTTACACGAAGACACGGTACTGAATGGAATTTGTCCAGTTTATGGAGGGTAATGATGGAGCAGCATCGCATGTGCATAGACGGCTAAACCCTAACGCATAACCTGCCTGCTCGACTACACTTTTACTGTGGTGCGGCATGGTCACGCCAGAGCATGGGTGCGGCATGGTCATGCCTGGGGAGTGGAGCATGATCGTACCAGTGGAGGGGTGGACCATGCCCGCCGTGCCTCCTATTCCCAGCACGCGTTGTGGCATGTCTGGCAGCACGCCACCCATGGGGATCAGGCAGTACCTGCACAGTTCAAGATACGCACGCATGACGTGGACGCATACGGGTGAGTGAGGAGGGTGGTTTTGGCCAAACGGCAAATGGGATGTGAACTGAAGTGGATGGAAAATGGTTAAAATTGGGCTGGAAAGGGGGTGGGAAACGGGTGGGGAGGGTGGGGAAGGGCTTCAGTTGGCCTGGCTGCCCCATTTAGCGAGCTGCAGGCATGTACACACCACGTTCGGACGCAGCAAGTGCATCCGTGCGTTTCCACTGATAACTACATGCACCCATGCACTGCTCACCTCGACGGATCCTAAGAGAGTGTTTTTACTGACAAACCCCACAGAGAGAGCAAGTGTGCAGTCCAGTCGCTGCAAACTCCCCCCTCCACTCACTCTTGCTCGGTGATGGCGTTCACTTTAATCCCCAGGTGCGCCAGGCGCTTCTCCAGGCGCCTTTGGATCTCGTCAAACGCCACGGCTGGCCGCGCCACTAGCGACGTCTCCTCTGCACGGCACGGAGTAGCACGGCACGGGGAAGACGGGCAGACGGACGGACAAGCAGACATGTACTTTTGGGTGCGAGTTGCGGGTCAAGCAGGGACACGCACCATGCGTTCAAATCAGACAGAAGAATCAGGCAACCTTGCAGGATTCAAGACAAGCAAGGAAAGGCGGAACAGCGTCTCGGATTAAAACGGTGCTGTGGGCGAGAAGGGATGGCGAAGAGAAAAGTGATTATAAGGTTAAACTCAAGAGTCACTATGGCGTTGAGAAAAGTGACTTTTGAGTCCATTCAAAAGGCGTAGCTAGAAAGATGGTGGTTGGGGAGAGGGACATGGCGTGGAGGAAAGTGACTTCTAGGGTACACTTAGAAGTCACCTAGAGGAAGATGACTTCTGCTGAGTCGGTTCCTAAGGCATACCTAGAAAGACGGTGGTCGGGGAGAGGGGCATGGCGTAGAGGAAGGTGGGGAGGTCGGCGTTGCTTTTGTGCATGGGCGTGCCTGGGGCGAGGTGCGAGTCCCGCCAGTCCATGAACACCATCTGGTCCAGCGCGAACGGATGCGAGTCCACCTGAGGCAAGAAGCAGGGCGAAATGGGATGGATAAAGAGGAAAACTTCTCGTGTGAGTGAGTCCCGCCAGTCCATGAAGACCACCTGGTCTAGCGCGAACGAGTGCGAGTCCACCTGAGGCAACGAGTAGGGCGGAATGCGCGGACACGTTTTGTGAGAACCGCCAGCGCCGCCGGGGCCGCCTTCTTTGTCTCGGTTTCATGATTCCCGCTGGTTCCCCAACCCCGTCGCAACCATTTCTAGTAGGTACGGCCCGTACCTACTAGAATGCAGATGAATCCGTACCGTACGGATGCAGCTGAACACCCGAATGATGGATCTTTTGGTGAACAAAAAGCTGTCGAACGTTGTTCCGAGGGTACTGGGCTTCAGCCTAGTTTGTTATGAGCCGAATCAGAGCGAATTTGACTACACGAGGGTACTTAGAACCCAGGTCATCGGCTCCCTGTGAAATTAACTTACCTCCTCATTTCCTAACAAAAAAAACCCATTCTCTGAACACGCTCTTGGATGAGATACCCTAATGTGCGTAGCTCATTTCCTTGTGCTTTCCGTATGGCCGCCACTTGCAACTTCTCAAAACGACCTGTCGTATTTGTTTGTTGGTTCTTTTCTTTCTTTCTTTCTACTCACACAACAGCCACCAGCCACTGGCACACACACGTACCTCGGCAACGATTCCCCACGCGGCCTGGTAGCCCGGGTTGTACGGCTGCGAGTATTGCACGAGGCGTCGCGAGAAGCCCGTAGCGTCCAGCACCAGCGCCGCTCTGATCTCCGTGCCGTCGCTGCATCGCACCACCGAGCTGTCTGCCGTGTGCTCCACGCTGTCAACCTGCGATGCGAAGAATAGATTCACACCTCGTCCTCAATGTTTCCAAGTTGGCTCGATTTTTCACCCTTCATCCAAAACCAGGAAGCAGGCGGAAGGAATTTCGCGCATAACAAGGTAATTACAATTTAGCTACACGCGCGTGTGGGAGTAATCGTACCTTAGCCGTGTGAAATGTGACTCCATTCTTGATGCATTGCGACGCCATTTTCATCTTCAGTGCTCGCCGGCTCACTCTCCCATACGGCCGATCCAGATACTTCTGCTTGCCGTCGTCTAAATACACCACGGCTTTTTGCCAGACGTAATCTAGACAGTCCGTCAGGTCTAGCGCCTCGAATTCGTCGACCCACACGCCGTAGTTATTCGGCCACATGGACTCGGGAGCAGGGTCCACGCAGCATACTTTCATGCCGTGCGACGCCACTTGCTGTGCGACGGATAGGCCGGCGGGACCGGCGCCGACGACGATCAAGTCAAGTGTGCCGGCGGAGTCCTCGGGACTGTAAGCAGGAAATGAAATGTCGAGCTTCTCAATTTTGATCTCTGG